CCCCCCCCCCCTCTAAACAGCTTTTTCTTAAAAAACAAAAAGCGTCCCTATCGGGCCACTTCTCTTCAAAAAAACAGCTATTATAAGTTCTCGCTTTCGTTGTTCCAGAATTGACACTTTGCTGTTTGCTGATGACGAGAACAAAAGGCCAGTCGTCGCCCGTATGCATGTCTACTCACCCATTTTTCGTGTTTGGCTTTCAACGTGGTCATGGCCACAGTAGTAGTAGTAGCTATCTATGTGCGGCGGCAGCTCCGGTCGCAGCTCCCGTCCCCCCCCGACTCACCCACCTTATCTATTCTCGGGAATGCGGACGGCTGTTTTCACTCCTGCTCCATCAACCAGCCAACCGGGAGCCCACCGAAAGGGCTGGGGGCTATATTTCTGCGATAGACGGTCTTGTGATTCGCAACATGGCGGTTACCAACGCCGGTGGCGAGTGCATCCGCTTGCGCGGTAAGCGAAGAAGCGACACGCACGTTCTCGTGGCACTTGCGGTATCTCTCTCACATGCGCAATGCAGTACCATATATTTGGTTGTAGCTCATTTGTTCTCGTACGAAGCAGTGCTACCACGTGCCATTTTTCCTCCTAGCCATAAAGAAAGCCTGGTTTTCTTCAATCCATCCCCTGCTGAATCTGCAGAGGAAGAAACCTGACTGCGTCTAGAGTGAACTTTTGCGCAGGCGGCACAGGTTGGAACCAATCTCGTTCATATTTCGAACCCTTCTTCCCCTTTCGGCTGTCGTGTTCTTCCTCCATCAAACACGCGGCCGCTCCTGCCGCCGTCCGCCTTTCCCGCCAAGACCACGTGACGAACGCCGAGGTGTATAGCAACCACATCACCGACTGCGGTAAGCCTCAGGCGTTGCTTCTTCCAACGCCGTAGCACAAACTTCACCTTATTGGCATATCGCTGACACCAGAGCAAGTGAAGCTTGACACCTGAAATAATATCACCGTGTGCCATCGGGCTTGGGTTTTCGTCGCTTCTCAACGTTGTTAAGTAGGCCGATCGCTTCGCGAGCTCGACAACCAGGTTACCGCTTATTTTCCTTCGTTTTTTTTTTGCGGTACAATAATAGATAATGAAGGTCGAGTAGATTCTGTTGTGCCGGGTCGAGAACGCTCACTCCGCGCAAAGGGGATGATCGCACCACGTTGGGTTAAATTGGTCAAGCACCCTCGAGAGAGACAGTGCTTACAACTGCCTCTGGAAGTGGATGTACCAGGAAACTTATTTAGTCATTCGTAGCTTTCATCCGTTGCGGGAAAGTAGGCACAAGATGCCGAACACTCTTAGCAGGATGCAGCGCACGCTCCATGCGACTCGCCGAATATCTCACGGTGCTTCGTGCTTGGTGATGTGAGGGCCTGGTCCGGTGCGAACCCGGCGTGCTCCGTCCCGGCATTGTAAGGAGGCAAGGTCAATGGCCAAGCGACTACGGCATGCTCGACAATGAGAACCCCCGCCCCCCGTTTTCGCCTTCCGACCCTTCCGTTACCGCCCTCTCACGCCCAGGAATCTACGACTTCAGGTTCGAGTAGCCAAATGTGCCGAGGCTCGACCTCAAGCGGTTTGAAGGGTCCCTGACGTCTGAAGCGATCCTTCCACGGAGCTTGCGTCGCGCTACGTGTTTGCCGTGGCGGGCCGGGGTGGATTGGTAGGGTAAGGGCAACGCCCGGTGGAGGCGGCCGGTCAAATGTTTCTTTGTGTGGTGGAAACGAGAGGACACCCGTCCTGCCTCGAAGTTCCATTTTCTCTCTGTCTCTCTATCTGTCTATCTCCGATGTAGTTTGTAGCGTGTCACACCCGCATCTCGTCTGTATTATTGTGTTCTGTTACTTACCTCTCCCCTTTCGCCCTCATCCTACTCGCCATCCCCTTCGTTCCCCCCCCTACCACCCGCGCTTCCATCCACCTGCAGGGAGGACGGCGACGGCAAGAACGGGGAAGGTGTATGTGAGTGAGAGAAAACCTTCAGTCTATTCGAGAGTGATTCCCGGGGCAGGCGTGCGGCTGCACTCAGAGACAAGAACTGTTGCGAAGTTTGAAGTTCGGCGGTGCCTTGAAAACATGGAGATTCGATTTCTGCGCATATCAGTCAAGAGCATTGCTTCATGGAGCGTTCCAATGATGTGATTCTGTGGATTTCGCGGCATATACTCGCTTCATGCTTTGGTTCGCCGTGAGGACTACGCGCCTTGTGGGAGTAAGCAATTGTCCCAAGTCGAAGAACGTTCGGAAAGAAGTGCCTAGTACAAGTGTGTGCTTCGACATCGACAATGTCTCCTCTGTGGCTTGCTTTGATGGTCGACACGCAGATGTCGGAACCTCGAGCAAGCAGTGGGACAGTGATAAAAATTGGGATGACGTACCAGACGTGTGCATGGGCAACATCATCCGTGGCAACTACATCAGGACTAGGGTAAGGGAAGACGCACCGAACCTCGCTATCTCCATGATTTTCCCTTGCCAAGAAATACGATGTGCCATGGCGTTGTCAGGGAAAATCATCACACACCATTTTCGAGCTGCACTATGACATATGCCATGCCAGAACCGAAGCGTACAGCGTCAGCTTTAAAAAAGATAACGCAACGATCATAGCAGTCGATACGAGGTGTGTGATCTCAAATGGGCGGGCTGGTTCAGAATCGAATCGAAAATGGCCGGGTGCTTTTGGTTGCCGGGCTCGAGCTCGACGAAGCTCGAAAACGACGCGGAGCGCAGTTTTCTGGCCGAACGGTTTCTGTTTGTGGTTGGACTCAACTTGAGGTTTCTCGCAGAACGGTTGCCTACTATGGCTAGATGCGTGGCGAGTTGGGAGGTAGGGGGGGGTTGGCGAGAGTCCCAACGATCTGCCGAAAGGGCGGTGTACTTTGGGCAGCAACGGCCGCTCCTCGCCGGTTACTCCGCCTTGTCGGCACGACCCATGTTCGCTTTGTGGTCGCCATTGCTTGACCACCTCCATCAGGGTAATGAAGGTATTGACGTTAAAGAAGGAACCGTTGACACCCTGATCGAGTACAACGAGGTGTACATGCAATACGACGACGACTCCGGAGGTGAGTCGACGAGGCGAGGATAGAGAGATGTATTCGCTCTGCTTGTTTACGCAACGGTTCTCAGTGATATATTGAATGGTGTAAGAAAACGGACCTGTACTAGCAAGACGCCCAGACACCGTGGCCTCTTGACACGAAGCGCGGAACTGTGTGCGCTGCAGATATCAAGAACCAGAATGGCATACCGCATGTCGCGTGAGATACACACGCCCTGATCAATTCTCCAAGCTTGACTACTCCATAACCGTAAGCGTGGCGGTGCCGAAAACGGCGGGGGTGGACCCGCCTCACCAAGAGCTTTCCTAAATCGTACAATTTGGTTGTCGCATCCTGCTTACCGCAAAGTGATTCGAGCTTTGAAAACTGACCCAGGGGCTGTGATGTCTTTTGCATCCTGCGTTATGCACGACCTTCTGCGACGACCACCGACAGATATTGTCTCGTCGCGCATTATCCCCACGAAAGGCGATATTCACAAGCAGGGTCTTCCGTGACCCCGTCTCTGCCGAGGGTTTTTAGCCGCGAGATGTTGTGATGCAGAACAAGATCCTCATTTAGCATTTAGGTAGATTTGTCGCCCGTCTTGCGTACCCCTTCCAACGATCATCTTGCTGGTGGCGGTCGGTTCGTGGTGAAGCAGATGTGAAATTTCGACCCGCGAGAGGGTCCTTGTCTCGAGAAGAATCGATCAATCTGCAGTCCCTTTTCACGAAAACGTCTCTGTATCCTAGGCGGTCTTTGGGCCACGCGCGCACGAATCACCCCGTGGTTGGCTAAGGCTCGAACACGTGACTATTAGACATAGCTGAGGGGGGTGATCGAGAGAATAGATAGCCGGTGTGCATACCTGGGATGCATTTTATCATTGCCTCAATCGCGACAGGGTAAATTGTCGTTGTCACAAGTCTTGATCAGCCGTTCAGCACTGGTTAACATGTATTCGTATTTAGCAAAACCTATTATGGGAACTCGTCTTTTCTGGGCGATGCCATGCACACTGCGGGGCATTCCAGAAGCACGAGGGCGTGTACCCACAGCAGTACAAGCGTTCCCGATGGTCGTGAACACTTCGGCCTCAAATGCAGTCTTTGCATCGACCTGCTGCGGCAGGCACAGAAGCAATCGCGAATCACACAAGTAACAGAAACGACAATAATCCCATCGTTTGTTGGCAGGCATCGGAAGCCGTGGTGACCGGAGCATCATTCGCTACAACCACATTGAAGACACGGACGGCGCGGGTGTCCGTCTAGGAGGCCACACCGTCGACGGCATCGAGTACGGAAAAAATAACCAGGTGCTCGTGGAATCTGGCCAAGCCGAGAATCTTAATTGCATGCGATCGCAAGGCGCCGCATTTTCTCAAACACGTGAACCGTTTTTTTCTCAAATTCAATGGCTATGCCAAGGAAATCTCGTCCGAGAAAGTCATCACTTTACTGTCGTCCCGGGGGTAGGTGCCTGACAGTAGAAAGCTACACCGCCACTGTAAGGCAGACGCTTGTTTGTGGCCCATCCTATGTAGTTACGGTTCTACGGCTAAAAGCGCGCTGTCACAAAAAGTCGCGCCACCTGTCGACGACGCCACCGAGGCCCCCAGAAACTTGAGCATCGAGGGTGACATCGCCTCATGGACGATTTCAGATGGATGTAGGGGTTTCGATTTGAACCTTCTTCGCACGCACTGAATTTGACGAGATGGATGGTGTCGAGCGAGTCGACATTCAACAGCAGTGTCGATTTTCCCAACTCATACGCAAACTCCTGCCTCCGATTTCTCGTCCGCCGTCAAACTATTTGGGGTCCTCGCCCATGCAACAGGTATACGGAAATACCATGGTCGACTGCCGGCATTCCGCCGTAAAGGTCATGGTCGACCCCCAGGGTCAGATCTGCAACAACGACGTCACACTTCCTGATTACGTTGACGAGGACGACGTGAGTATTGAACCCTGGGTTGGCGACCGGTGTTTCTCCTGGCCTGTTTTCCTCATGGATACAATACTCAAGGTGGTGGGGGGGGGGTACGGGGTCGGTCATGATCACTTGGTGGAGCGATTCCGCGCGAACAAATCAGACCACGGGAGTAGGAGACACTTTTCTGGCTTCTGCGGCCACCACCGAAACCTGGTGGGTGTTTCGAACAAGACACAACACCGAATTCTTTTGTGAAGAAAGCACAAAGAAGGGCGTAAAAAGTGGCTCTCATGAAGGAGTACATTGCGGTGCCGCCGTTCTGTCCCCGCTGAGGCACTCTTGTTAAAGGTTGATCTGGCGAACAAGCAAAGGAACGCGTGCCTCTTTACCATTCCTCTGGGCGCCGTTTTTTGTTCTTTCTTTCTCTCTTGTTGTGTGTGTGTCTGTCTGTCTCTGTCTGTGTCTCTCTCTCTCTCTCTCTCTCTCTCTCTCTCTCTCTCTCTCTCTCTCTCTCT